ACCCTGTTCCCCCCAAAGCCCCCTCCTGCCCCCGTGGCCCGTCCTGCCCTCTGCTGCTGACTCCAACCGCAGTCAGCCCGGCTCGGGCACGGGCAACCCCACGAGCTCAGAAGTTCTGAGCCCGCCCACTTCAGCTCCAGAGATTAATTAGGCCTCTGTAGAGTCCTAGGAGAGAAGGGGCTGCAAGCAGAGAAAGGCCTGGGGACCCAGAAAGAATGCTAAATAGCGGGCCAGTTCCCTGGGATCTGAAAGGCACACCATACAGGGCCCCAGCGGCTCCAGGGCACCAAAGTAAGGGAGAGGAGGGAGTCCAAGCTGTGACACTAGCGGTGAGGAGCTGACAAAGGAACGCGGGGCAAGGGGGGCAGAGAAGTCACAGGATGGCAGGAAAGCAAGAGGAGCACATGTGTGGGCAAGTCCTCACCATCTTGTCATCAGAGTAGAAAGGCTCAGAGGGCCGGGCAGATATCACGTGGAAGGAGCCATGGGAAGCAGGGGGTTCTGTCCGTATGCTGAACAGGGTCGGGGGTCCAGGAAAGCCCCCGAGGCGGCGGAGGGAGGTGCTACGTCGCAAAGTGGGTGGCTCAGGCCGGAGGGCCAAGCGGCTCAGCGCAGCCCCCAGTTCTCCGGGGCCACGGTGCCCTCCCAAGGCAATCCCCATTGGACGCAAGTCCCCACTGCTCACAGACTTGGAGCGGGCTAAGTTGGTCCGGGATGGGAGAGGCAGAGCCACAGCTGGGGGTGGTGAGCCAGGCAGGGGAACCCCATGGTCTGCGCGAAGGGGGCCTCTGGGACGCGGGCCCGAGGTCCGTCCGCGTCCCAGCTCCAGTTTCTTGAGCCGTTCATCAGGGGGACCCGGCCGAGGAGGCAGAGGTCTTAACATGGGGTTTGGCCCAGGGGCTGGGTTGCGGCGCTCCTTGCTGCGGGCCCTGGGGGCAAACGGTAGCTTGGCTCCCACTCGGGGCTGGACATTAACGGGTGGCTCTCGGGTCCGACCCAGGCGGTGTTCAGAGGCCTGGGGCATTGTGGACACCATAGGCTGGACCTGGGAGGAGAAGAAAGCGACAGCATTTGGGTATGGAGGGAGGGAGGAACCTGGGTTGTGACACTAGCCTGCATGCACTGCAGGTAGGACCCAGGTCTACCAAATCAGTCACTGGATTCCCAGAACCCAGCACGGTCTTTGGCACAAAGCAAACACTCAGTATCTACTGAGTAAACGAATGAATGAAAGCAGCCCATAACTTTGACCCTTTCTATACACACCCCCGCCCCTCCCTGCAGAATATACCACTACCGAAAAGCCAGTGATAATCCCTCTCTCTATCGTCTGTGAGCTAATGACAAGGGACCCCACACCTGGCTAGTAAAGTGGGATGTGCCCTGGGTCACTGAGGACCTCGGGCCAAATGACAGTGTGGACGCAAGGATCGCAGCCCCCAAAAGACAGCATCCCATCCTCAAGCCCCCGCCCCTCCGGGCTGCAAATGAAGCCGACTAAATGGGTGACTTGCGATCCATTCCCTCCCCCACCTCCGAGCTCCGACACGGTGTCAGGGCTCGGGAGGCAGGGGTCTGGCACGGAGCACGCTCAACTCCTTGACCCCCAGTCTCGGCACCTCTCCCACCACAGCAGGGCCGTCGCCGGGTCCGCCCCCCTCGAGGGCAGAAAGGCCGAGGCAGCTGATTGGCTGTGGGGTCCGGCAGCGTATTCCCCGCGGTCCGGGGATGCAGTCCCTCCAGCCCGATTCTCCCAGGCCTCGCCGGGCCCCCCGCGCCTCTGCCTCCGTGGAGAGTATCCTCTCGGGTCTGGAGCAG